TGGGCCTTGATAGTTGATAGATAGGACATAAATCTAGTCTGAGGAGAAGAAAACTAAATCATCACTTTCCTGCAATTTTCAGTATCAATTAATGCTACATGGTTTCTTCTTTAGCTGACTAAATTTTACACTTGCCTGTTCATTCACAGCAAAAAATCGTTCTTCACAATGTTACTATACTTAAATGTTTTATGCATACAAATATAATCATAATGTATGTATATCCCTATGCAGACTATATTTGCATATACACATATTCAATACTTTATCCACTCACATGTACATACATTTTAGACTTTGAATTTTTGGGTTGTGTGCTTACATTCCCTGTGCAAACTAAGTTTTAAAAATATTTATTTTTGTTACTTTTTATTTTATGTGTCTGTGTGTGAATATTTGCACGTGAGCCGCATGCCTGTGAAGGCCAGAATAGGGCATCACAACCTTTGAAGCTGAAGTTGTGAGCCACTCATGACAGCTAGGAACCAAACGTGGGACCTTAGGAAGACCAAGTAATCACTTTTAACCACTGAGCCATCTTTCCAGCCCCTCCCCCACATTTTTTTGTTCTTTTGAATCAGGGTCCCTCACTGAACTAGGAGCTCACTGATTTGCCTAGACCAGGTGGCAGCATAGCCTAGGGGTCTTCCTGATTCCATGTACTCCTCACAATACATGGGTTACTGTGTATATTAGCACATCTAACGTGGGTGATGGACTCAGGTTCTCATGTTTGCGAAGGGATCACTTAGCCAACTTGGTTGTCTCCTCAAACAATAAACTCTCTGTAAATAGTATTCCTACATGTTTTGGTCAATCATATGTGAAGGTTCTAGTATGGTGCCTAACACATAAGAGGTACACTTGAATAGTTACAGAAGCATTGAGTATTCATTAATTGCCCCCAATTCACTAGCTTGTAACTCTGGTTACATTTCAAAACTTCCTAGAAACCTTTTGTGCATTCATTTCATCAATCTCCATACAAAACATCTGGGCTATGGGTTGGTCATTGTTGTTGTCAAAGGTATCCAGGTGATTCAGACTGAGAGTGACAGCCGGGGTTCCAATTTCCCTAGAACCTTGGGTTGCCCATCCCTAAGGGAAGATGATGCCCTGTGAATGGAGAGTCCTTCCAATATATTGCTCACTGGGGGTAGAGGTAAAGTTCTAGTTTCTGTATTCCAACTTAAGACTGTTGCTTCTGCTTAGTCTTCTCAGTTTAGATTCCAACAAAGAGGCATGGCTTCAGTCTCCTCTCTCACACACTGGTTTGAGGTAGAGGTGCCCGGGATCCCACTAAGCCATACAAGGACAGCTATAATTAGTCATTATAGAGACACTGTCTCCAGTCAATATCTGTCTCGTAGAGAGTAAGTGACCTACAATTAGACCTGCAGCTTTCCCAGAAATGGATAAAGAGTTCCTAGACAGTGCAGACCTGGTACCACACAATTTTAGTGGCAATCACTACTAGAGACTGTATTAACGTACTTTAACCTGTGTTTCTACCTGAAGTGAAAATGGGGTCTCCTTGTTTGGCTCCAGCTTTCTTTTCTGCAGTGGCAAAGCTCTTCTCAGCATGGGCATCTAGCCTGGTTCTCTAGGTAATACTGCAAGATGGGCATCATCCAAAGATGCGAAGACATAAATGCTAATTTACCAAGTGGCTTGCTGATGCCCATGGTACACCACAGGGTCATAGCTGCCACATGAGCTCTGGCTAGTCAGTTCCCAAACCATTCTTCTTCCTGGACTATACTCTCCCAGTTCTGTTAAAAAATATCAAGCCTCTCTTACAGAAGTGGTGATCATGAATCCTGAATTCAGCTGAGTTCAGTTTGAAATCAAGTGTTTCCATTTCCCTGCTATGTGATTTGGGCAAATGATGCCATTTCCCTGAAGTTACACAACTATATTTGGAGGGGAAAGGTTTTAATTAATACCACATGATAGTTTTGCTATGGGTTAATGTGATAATATACATAAAACAATTAATAAAATTCAATGTCTATAAGATTAGTCAAGTATTAAAACAGACAATGAATAGTCTCCCCACTGTTCTATGTTGGAATTTTTTTTTCCTTTTAGATTCTGTGCTGCCCCAGAATCTTCTGAATAACACACACAGATGTTCAATTCTTTAGTGCAAAATGACAGAGTAGTGCTTCTCTGTAGCATCTAATATGTTGTAAGTGTTAAATAACTGCTGTACAGTGTTGTTTAGGGGACAATGACAAGAAAAACACTCATGTTCAGTATATAGGCAATTTTTCTATTGTTTTCACACAAAGAATAGGGAGATACTTCTGTATTCTTAGATGGCTTTCTCAAATAAACTATGACTCTGACTTTTTGATTGCTGGTAGACATTATAACTGTGAGCTTGAAACAGCATAATATACACTACAAGAGTATAAACAGACTTATGAATCAGAATTGATGGAGATTCAAAATCAAAAGGTTTTAACAAATTAAATCCATCGAGGGTTAAACTATCAATAACTCAATAGCCAACTAAAATGTATTCCAAAATGCAAAGGTAAATCAAAATGGAAAGTAATAAGATATTGTGGCATCCATGCCATAAACAAGTCCAAGATGCTGGGAAATGAAAGACAAGACATCCGGCTGTTTGTGCTAAGAGACTGCGTGTGCCACCTTTATTAACAGGAGAATGTGTGTGTGTGTATGTGCTTCATCTGGATGTCTGCCTCTGTGTCTGCTTGTAAGCTGTAAGGAGTGAGAAGCCTTATATTCAGACTTACAGCACAGTGGAGAAATCTCAGGTGCAAGAACTCATGTTTTCCTTGTGCTAGATATTGATGTCAGGTGGGCAAGGCCGGGGCTGTAAGCCAGGACTAGTGAACAGGATGCTCTTGTGGTTATCAGCTGACAAGCAATGCACAGAAATCCATGGGGGCTGCGGCCCAACAAGTAGTCTGCCAAATACACAGTTAGGAGGAGTTGGCACGAATAAGAAAAGGACAGTGTTATGCTTGCGCGCACACACACACACACACACACACATTAATGTGTGTTTGAGTATATGTGGGTGTACATGAACTTGTTTATGTATAAGAAGGCCCAAAGTTGACATCAGTGTTTCCCAAGATAGCATTAACTGTCAACTTGGCATAGCGTAGAGTCATCTAGGAAAGGATTGTTGAGTGATTGACCAGATTATGGCTGAGAATATGAGGGAGCAAAGGACTATCACATAGGGGAAGAGTGATCAAACGGTCTCTGGAAACCCCACACCAGTGCACTCTCTCTCTCTTTCATTCATGTTTAAGGAGACTGTCTTGATTGTTAGTAGATGAGCACTGTGAACAGCATCATCTACTGGACCTGTAGTACCAGACTGTATTAAAAACTTTCTAGTATGAATCTACAAGGCAATCATGATGCAGCATTCGCTTTCTCCAAGGTTTACACTATACTTGCTTGGTGGTGAGTGAGATCTTTGGTCAGATATAATGTGACAACAAGCAGGCCTGCTTTCAGATTCATGTTTCACTTCCTGTCCAGGCTTCCTTCAATCATGAACTCTAACCTGAAATCCTGAATCCTCTTCTCTCAGTCACTTTTGGTTTTATCATAGGAATAGAAAAGAAACTGTAGCAGGTCTTCCTCAGTTACTTTCTACATTACATGTAGGAGCAAACTCTCTTGTCAACCAGGAACTCACTATTTGACTAGTCTTGCTAGCCAGCTTTGCTTTAGGCATGGTCTGCCTCTGCCTCCTGAATGGTAGGACTGTAGGCAGTTGCTGCACTCTTCTGGCAATTACGTGGCTTTTGGGATCTGAACTCCTTCCCTTATGTTTGTGAGGTAACTGGTTTATGCACTGAGCCATGTTCTAGCATGCATCAGCCCTGGCACTCAACTATTTTTAAACCACAGACAAGTTTATAAAGCTAATCAGATTTTATAATTTTGTAAGTTAACGTATTTAAAAAATCACATAGTTCTCTATATCCATCTGTATACATCACAAAGTCAATATCAAACTATGATTAAAATATAACTACCTATCCACCATCATGTTGGTTATGTTCATTTTGCATTAAAGAATAGTCAAGTATAACTAATCTAGTTTTACCAGACCAAGTAATAACCCATGGTACCCTCTATCTGGTAAGGTTATAGATTATTATACCTTTAATTAATACATACTTTAAAATAGTAATATTAATCTCACAATGGAATTAAATGTATTGAAATACTTTAATAAACATTCCATTAAATTACGAATCATGCTATGGTGAGCATTTATGTTGACATATGAAATGCACATAATAAAGCAAACATATTAAAAAATAATCTTCCCCAATACTTCTTAGAATGGCCACAAATGGAATTCACAGAGTTGGGGATGGCTAAGTGGATCAAGTGCTTACATACAAGCATGAAGATCTGAGTTTGATCCCACAGAACCCATGTTTAAAAAATAGGCCTGATAGTGCATGCTTGTAACCAGGCAGAGTCAGAAAGCCAGGCAGACTAACCTTCAAACTCCTTTAACGTAAGAGTAGATAGCATATAAGAAACATCACTCAAAGTTGTTCTCTGTTTCTCCCCCAGCATATGTTGCATACTTGTGTGCCTGCATATATACTCACATATTGTCTGTATACAAACAAGTACATGCACACATGCTAATCTACACAAAGAATTTCACAGGATAGTCGTATGCTTCTCTAAGAGAGCACTTTCCTAACAAGCCTGGAGCCATGGTTACCAGGAGCAGCACCTCAAGCAAAACAAAACAAACTCAAAGTATTTCTTGGTGGGTCTTTGAATTGGAGGAATATATTTCAGTGTGTGTTGACTATCTATTACATGATGGGAAGAATTTTTGTTATAGATTTAATTTCCAGATTTCCTTTTATATTGTGATTTTAGATGTGCACCCAGTATAGACACAGCACTTTCTCTCTCCTTAGCAATTACTATGCCTTCATCTAACACATGGATTTAGGGATTACTGTACTTACCCATTCTCCAGTTGAGTTGAGCCTGGCTGGAACTTCCAGTGAGATTTGAGGAGCTGGAGAAAGCCTTTGGAGAGAGGAAGGAGGCCAATGGGTCATCACAGTTGTCTGAAAAGACAGGGAAATCAGGAGAGGTTAGATTCAATTGGCAAGAAAAACAGGTCCTTTCATTTATTAGCAATCTGCTATGGAAAAGGTTTGGGACTATTTCAGTGTGTGTTATTGCAGGTAATTCTCATAGCTTCAAACATGGTATATCTGACTTCCTTTGACAGATGGAGAAAATGAAGGCTAGAGGGGTTCAAGTTCACAACACTAGTGAGTAGGATAACCAAAACTCTTGGGAAGATTTGTTTGAGTCAAAAATCTAGCTTCCAATCCATCACTTAGTTGAGCATTTGAACATATCCTCACAACATGTCTGTGTGTAGTCCATGAGACGGGAGACTCTTATAGGAGAGTATTGTTTATCTCCCATCCTCAGCCTCCAAGGACCCTAGCAGTAAATGTGTCCATCCCAATAAGATAATTTTGAATTTCTTACTACAACTTGTGAATGAGCCAGTGAGAAACGTGTTACTTACCTAATAGTTCACTTATGTTGCAGGAAGTAAAAGTGTGTAGTCGCAGATGCTATACAATCCTGGACTGTATAGTTACATCAATAGCTAAACGTCTAGCCTTCTTTGATGAGGGTACTTTTTAAGGCTGCTTTGATAGTACTAAATACCCAAATATGGGTCATTGTGTCAAAGGGACCATTAATAGAAACCTTGTTATGTCCCTCCAAGTTCACCGTAATCCATAGTCACTGGATTTCACATGGAGGAACTTGGTCTTCACACTTGGCACATACCACACCCATAACTGGATTGAACATTTGTGTTCACCAAAACTAGCATTGAGACTTAATTATTATGCATCCAAACTAAGAAGCAGGATCTTTATTTCTTTATTTGGTTTTGTGAGACAGGGTTTCTCTGTGGCTTTGGAGGCTGTTCTGGAACTAGCTCTTGTAGACCAGGCTGGTCTCAAACTCACAGAGATCCATGTGCCTTTGCATCCCGAGTTCTGGGATTAATGGCCTGGCTGAAGCAGGATCTTTAAGAGATGATTTAGCCATAAGAGCCCTACCTTCCATATGAGATGAGTGTTTAAGAACTGAAGTTTCTCAGTGTCTTTCCTTCTGTCACTTAGTGACTTGGTGATTTGGCCTTGCTACATACTAGCACCTGGATATCAGACTCCTTTATTAGTGTCCCCTTATCAGTGTCACCCTTATCAGGGACCCTCTCTCAGATATTCTCATACAGTAGCACATGACAGGTTAGGGAACTTAGTCATCATTGTACTGGAGGGATGCATTTTTCTGTATCTTCTGCTAGATGCTCATGTTTTTGGAGGCCCTTACCAAGGGATCTACTGCATAATAGAACTCAAGTAACCGTGTGTGAAAGACTGTGATGGTGAATGATGATGGCAGGGACAAGAGAAAGGACCAATCAATCAACCAATTAGCACACCTCACAAAGCCAACATTCTTTCTAAATTTTTCCATTTTGTACATAATTGATTCTCTGGGACATTGAAAAATGACTTCATAAAATCTAGACAGAACTTATTCAAAACAGATTTGAAACGTGCCACTCAAGGTAAATTTTCTGGTATGCAGGCTCTTGGGAGGAAGTGATCTAACATTAGAAAAGAACATTTACATAGGATCATGCTTGTTTTCCTAGTCAATTCTTACAAAGCTGTGTTTCAGATAATTGCAGGAAAAATAATTAGAAACATGAGGATTAAATTCTTGTTTGTTAAGTGTGTTTAAAAATTACCTAGTATTCTATGTTTAGGGTTTATCCCAAATGCAAATGCTTAAACATTGTTTGACAAGGATGTAACAGAGGCGTATCCCAACTGGAGAGGAAAATATCAGAAACATAGCAATGACAGCCTAGTGGCTCTTGGGTTAGGAGCATAGAGCAGGGTTCCATGGAACATGGAACATGTGGCTGCTTTTCTCCTAAACAGGATGCAGGCTAGAGAGCTGCTTTCACACCACAAAGTACTGTATGATTTCTCTCTCTCTCTCTCTCTCTCTCTCTCTCTCTCTCTCTCTCTCTCTCTCTCTCTCTCTCTCTCTCTCTCTCTCTCTCTCCCTGTCTCTCCTTCTCTCTCACCCCCACACACATACACACAAGCAAACACAAACACACCCACATACACTCACACACACCCACAGATGCAAGGCAGAAATTGTATTTTCTTGTGATCATTTTGTTATCAAATGTAAACTACAGTTGTAGGGATAGCTCAACTTGCCAAGTGTTCACTATGGCAACTTAGGGATCAGAGTTCAACTGCTCAGGTAAAATTTTGGATGCTGTGCAATACTCTTTAATACCAGAACCGGTAAGGAAGGGACAAGTGAATCTTTGGGGATTGCTTGCTAGCCTGAATAACCTATTTTGTGAGCTCCAGCCCAGTGAGAGACCCTATCTTAAAAGTCAGGTAGGCAGTGTACTGAGGAAAGATTCTCAAGTGTTTTCTGGCTTCCACAGACACACAGACATGTGCCAGACTGCATGTGCACCTGCACACATGTGTACCTGAACAATACAATATAAACAAACATGCATGCACACACATGCACAAGCCCACAGACACACAAGCACACAGAGTGAAGTTATCATTATTAGGCTCTGATAACTTTTCCATGTGTCACGGATGACCTTGTACATACTGTGCTCATGGCTCTGGTCATCCCATAAGCCTTTCTTGTCAGTGAATCTTTTATTGTTGTAAAATTCATATTTTGTATTTTAAGGGCAGTGAACATACTTTAAAAAAACTCTAAAGTCAGTTCAAACCACATATCACTTAAAAAACAGCCCTGGAGCTTAGTTTTTCTCCTTTTAGCAGTAGCCCTCATGTATTCATGTAAATTGCTAAAATGCCTACAACGTAGAAACGTAGTTATAGCCTAATCATTTGAATTTAAGTCATTCATATATTTTGAGGTTCTATTTGTACCTGTCCTCATATGGGTACTGGAGATAGATATGAACAAAACAGAGTCATACACCTTAGAGCCAAACACTGTAGAGCCATACTCAGTAGAGCCATACACCACAGAGTCATACACCTGAGGTTGCTTACAGACCATTCACAGATATAAGCATATAAACAGATGTCCTACAGGGAAAGATTGGGCACATTCACTAATGTTTAGCTCTGCTCAATATTCCTCTTCCTCTTCTCACAGACAACAGTTTTAGGAGATCTGAACTTCAAGAACCCATTGGCCTCACAGCAATAATAACCAAGTAATCTACTGGCTATTTCAACCTCTGACCTTTCTTCAGACAATTTTTGCGCATCAGCAAATCTATGAACAATGACCTTGGACAAAGGACAGGCCCAGGTGAGAACTTTATGTGTATTTTCCTCACAGAACTGGTATACTTGAAGAATGGGTTCTTAAGAACCCGTCTGAACTTATGATCTTGAAACAATGACAAAAATGAGAGAATTTTGAATCAAAAAGGAAGAGAGGCCATCCTGACTTCATTTAGCTTAAGGGGATGTTCCCTGTGCCATTTGCATGTTTAGGCAATAACTCCAAGAGAGAATAGACTGGGCCTTTCAAGTTTGAGGTTGCAAATCATAGATTTGTTTCTTCCTCTGCCAGGCTGTCTGAATACAATCTAGGTAAGTGGACCAATAGTGACTTCATACCTGCTAAGCAGAGAGGCATATATCTGCACCGTATTCAGTCAGAAACTCTGTGATGTAATAAAGTCAGGAGGAAAAAAGGCTTAGTATGAAGCCCCCATAAGTGCAGATAGCAGCATGGGCTTCTGGGATACCTGCTGCCTTCCAGGAGGAGACCTATCATTCCTAGGGTCTTGCTTCTGTTCTCTGAAAAGAGCTGGTGCTGCGGCTGGCTCTTCTATGCTAAGGGCTCACTGTGAGTTAAGGACACAGGAGAAGCACAGAAGAGAAAAGGGTGAAGATGTGTGAAGAGGAGATCACGGGGTTTGTTTGACATACAGCTGGGCATCCTGTAGAGACTGATTTGACTTCACACCCAGCACATGTCTGGAAAGAAAGGAAAGGAAATGCCATCTGCTGTGTCACTCCTACAGGCTTCCTACTGCATTGTCTCTTGAATTTAGGCTCCTCTACTTCCTCAGCTTCCTACAGTGTTTGAATAAATTGTGAATCCCCTTCTCCCCATCATGTTGTCCTCTCTCTCTCTCTCTCTCTCTCTCTCTCTCTCTCTCTCTCTCTCTCTCTCTCTCTCTCTCTGTGTGTGTGTGTGTGTGTGTGTGTGTAAGGAAAAAGAGTGAAGAACCCAGATCTGGGGGGAGTTTCTGTTTGTGAGACTTGAATATGTAGCCTATAGTCTCCAATTTGCAATCCTCCTGCCCCAACATCAAGGGTAGCATGTGTTCTGGTGCAGAGGGAAATGTTTTAAGTTTGGGAGAAAAAAATCTTGAGGACCTGTGCTGATGAATTTAGAATCAACTAAGAGTAGAGTCTCTTGGCACAGGGATCAGGGATTTTTTAATTAGGTTAGTTGAAGTAGGAACACTCACTGCGAATGTGGGCAGTTCCTTCTGGTAGCACCTAGCAAGAAGAAAGTACAAAGGAAAAGCTTTTGCTTCTTTTCCATGCTTTTCTTAGCATCTTACTGACAGGAGGAAAAGAGGCTTAGTATGAAGCACCCATGAGAAGATAGCTACCCTTGTGAAGAGTTCTACATGGTTGCTGCTGCTATCACTACTGATAGCACCCTATACTGACATCATGATTCAGTCTCTTTGGTCATCCAGTGTGGACTAAAGTTCGACAGTTCTCTAGGAATCCTTCAGGTTGTCAGTACTAGATGGGTAAAGCTGAAGCATCCTGTACCAGATGGGTTGCCATAACCTCCAGCCTCTTGTCTGAGAAGATACCTGTTCTCAGCTTCTTCAGTATGAAAACAGCCATGGGCACTTAATTGGACTGTAGTGTAAATCAGTCTAATGAATCCTACCTTAATATATAAGCATTCTACTTTCTGTCCTGGCCAGGGCAGGGACTAAACATCAGGCATTCGTTAT